AATTTCTGAATGGAAAATTTGTGGTCATTTTCCCTTCGTGTCCGTGACATATCCTCTTACCCTCTTACTCTACTTGAGGTTAAATTGTTCTGCTCTTTCTAAGAGCTTTTTTGTCAGGCCGAGTTTAAGCAGTTGAATAAGAGTTACTAGTAAGAGCTTAAATTTATTTACTAATAAAAAGCAGATACTCCAGTAAAGGTTTGCAATTGCTCTTCTGTCATACCAGTAGAAGGGATGTGTTCCTCATGAAAAAGCATGATCTGTGTCCAGCATTAGCAGGAAGACACATACAGCACAAATTGTCTTGTTGGCCCCAGAAAAGGAAAATTCAGATAGCACATTTTTTCTTTAGTTATATGGAATAGTCATGTCAGAAGGGAGAAAATGATGTTGTAGAGAGAGAGAAGCACGTGAAGTGCAAAAGTAAAACCTGTTGCTGATGCTTTTCCAGCCAGTAGTTCAGGATATTTTATTTTACAGCTCAGTGTGATAGTATTAGATCTGCACAGCCTGCGGATAGAAGTGTGACTTAGTGGTTTATTGAATATGCTGAAGTCCTCCACTGTATCGCCTTTAAAAAACACCTTGGGTACATAAATTCCTGCTAGACCACTATGAAGTATTTCAGTGCTCACTCTCCTTCAAGACACTTCCGTATGTGTTAATACCGAGTAAAGCATACATTGGCATAATGCTTTGCACTTATTATGCTTTCGGTTATCTGAGCGTCACAAGGCACTATTTAAACACTGAACCTGACAACCTGTCTTGTAATCTAAATAAGCGTTACACATTCAAATACACAAATGGAAATGGAACCAAATTCAAAAAATGTAACAGATTCATTCCATGTTATGTAGCGAGTACCACAGCTGAAGAAATCTCAATTATCCTCATTCATGGAGCCTCTCCCAAACATTGTCTTCCTTGTGTTGTATGGCATTTGGGTCTGTTGAATGAAGAACTCTTGCAATCCTTCTAATGACAACATCATTCCCATACCACAACCCTTTCTCATCTTGCTAGATTCCGCAGCAAGAGGTTCAGCTGTAAATATTTTGTATTTTGTTGTATTTGTTTATTTTGCATATGTATCACTGTATGGTCTCTGACTTTTGGTTAATAATACAGTAGCTTACTTATGTATTTAAAGATTACCTAGATTTCAGATAACTGCGCTTTTTCACCCATTTATCTTCCCAAACAGTTATGTTTAAAAAAGCTTTAGAAGTTCTCAGAATCATAGCAGTGTATTGCAGCAGAGGCTGGTATTTTTTTCTTTGTGGAGTTTTTTAAACCTTTACAGAGCTCTCTTCCACATGTAAATGTTCACATTTATGCCCTGTGTAGGAGACTCACTTCTCCTGACTTGCCTTCATTTTCCCTCAACATGAAACCTTCACTAAACACGTTCCTAAGAGGGTACCATGATTTCTATCCGATAAGTGTATTGCTCAGTCCACCACCACTGGTGTCATTGGTTTCCAGAAATCAGTCCCCAGACTATGAGGACTGATCCAGCTACTTTTAATTGTGTAAAATGTAGGCTTCTTAAGTTAGTTATGTAATTTATAACTGTAGTCAAGAGAAAAAAATTGACTCTGACTTTGAAGCTAATTCATCAGATTACAGACAGAGGAAGAATTATATTGTAGAAATTCTTGCCTGACATGTTTTGCAAAGGGAGTGTAGTTACCTAACTTTAGGGGGGTCTAAATGTAAATGAGATGAATCCTACCTTTAGTATTTCTCCCGTGAATAAGAAGCTTCTGGTAGTAAGTGTGTGTGTATATTTTTATATCACAGTCAAACAGGGAAAAAGAGGTTCGTTCATTCCATTAAAAATCATTTTGATTATGATTATTTTTAATATTTCAGCAATACTTTGTAGTATTTTGGGCAGTATTCCATACACAGTAAAAAATATTTCGGCTTACTTCATATTCTTTTCTTACAACTTATACTCACTATAAAATTAAACATATTTGGATAATAAAGGCTAGAAAGAAAAACTCTTTATTTTGTTTTTGTGCAAGAATTTCTTATTCAATATATATATTTTCATCTCCTCTATAATTTTGTGTGATTTGTTTTATCATATGCTGGATGTGATACTAAGAGAGCTTTATTCCTCATTTGTAGACCTTCTTTTCTGTATTGTAGCCTGATATTTTGAACTAATTAGAGAACCAAGTAGAGTGAGGGTTATTAATACGCTGCAGAGTTGTCAATGTAGTTGGATGTTTATTGCATATTACATAGAGCAACATTTAAAATGCAAAGGTAGCAGGGTTTTTGCTGGAGGGTGTATTAGTATAGATAAGCAACATGTTTCTGTAGGGTGAAAGAATTATGCACCATAAGATTTCTGTGCATCCCAGAATAGATGTGTTAGAAAAGTCTTCATAACAAAAAACTCATTTTTTGTCCAGATCAGTAAAACACTATATTTTTTATTGTAGTCTAGAAGTTTCTGAAAAACATAAATTCTGAGTTAATACTTCTCCTAGCTCTCCCTTCAAAAGTATTTTTCATATCTGGACTTATTTTCTTTTTTTTTTTTAAGTTAAAAATGTCCTTGGTATTTATTCAGGTGGATGAAAGTACTTTGGGTCCTATCTCTCAGGATACCACAGGAAAAATAATATACACCCATAAAACCACAACCCTCACTCGCAGGTTTTACATTACACAGTGTATTTCCAAAACACTGTTATTAGAGCATTGCTATGTATTTGTAAGAATTTAGGTTGATTGTAGTTAAAAATATGCCTTTGAGATTTTGAAGAAAGGTCTGCATATGAAGAGAGCGGTAGGCCTGATTCTGCAAAGACTTTTGGGCACTAATGTTATCCATCATGTGGCACATTGAAAATTGAAGTAGAATAACACTATAAAGAGTATCTTAAAAAGGAATTGTGCTCTGAAGAAGTGGATAAACTGTTTTTGGTTTATGTACGTTTATTCCATTTCCAAGTTCTGTCAAATAAATGAGATATTTTTGAGCTAAAAAAAAGAAACATATAGGTCAATAAAGTGTTTATCAGGTAGAAGAGTTTGTATTTCTTACTTTTTTCTGCAAGTTTGTACTGATTTTATGTATATTGCCAATATATGTAGGTATCTCTGATATCTATGAAGTTTTTTTTTTTAGTTTAATAAAAGAAAAACAGATATTTTTGTTGCAATTGTTTAAATTCGAACAGTAGCTTAACCATAAGCCTGCTGTACCTCCGTGTAGGGTAAAGTTGGAAAGGAGACTGTTTTTCCTATTCTGAACCTAATTGTGAACCTAATCTCATCCTAAAGGCTCCTGGGCACATATTCTAATATAGACTAAATCAGTACTGAACTGGAATAACTCTTTTGATGTAGAGAATTCTTTTAGATGGCTACAGGTGAATCTGAGATGAGAATCCAGACCTTTTTTAAGTTTTAAAGAATCAGTGAATGGCTTTGTAGCTTCAAGTAAGGCATTCAATAGCTTTCTCACTTTGTGAGAAAAGATCCAAGAGTAAACTGTGTTTCCAACAAAACGGTTAGGAAAAGCAAGTAAGATGTGAAAGGATGAAAAATATTACAGAAATACAGCTATTGTGAGATTTGACTCTTAGGGAGGTTTATTGTCACTGAAAGGAAGTGGCTGTCCTCTCCTGTATTCTGAATGGCTGAATGCTTTGTTCTTACAGTCCTCTGTTGCAAATTCCATACATGCTTGTTGAAAAACATGTTAAGTTAGTGACACATGGCAAATCTTATGTCAATTTCCCCCCCCCCCCCCAGTTCAACTGATGCGTTAGGTTTTAGGATGATGCTTTTACTTCTTGAGGAGTACAACTTCATGATAGTAAATATGATTTGACGTAGCAGTTAGCACATAGGAATTTCGTGACCTTACCCAGCAAAGTTATGATAAAATACAATTTGAGAAAATATTTCTGATAAAATCTAGTATATTAGTCTCTGTCATAATATCCACAAAATTAGACATTATATCGATCCAGAAATATTCAGATCACTGTGGTTATGCAGACCAGGCAGACATGTGCATCGAATTGCATTCATTCCACTTGAAGTACTGTAAACTATCAGGTCATTTTACTGTGTATTTTCTGAGCTTAAAAATTGCTCAGTCATCATGCTTGTGTTAAACAAACATGCATGTAATACAATAGCTAAGTAGCCTTGACAAACTCATATTCATGAACAGGATTTCATTCTTAGGTGTTCGGATTTCTAAATCTGTATTTAGCTCAAGTTTGATGTTATAAATCGATGAGGACACGTAGGACACCTACAATGCACAAAAATATGGACAGAATACAAATAGACTTAAAGGCTTTTCAGCATCAGAATTGCTGGAGACTTCAGTGTTCTTACCCAGCCTATTATTTGGACTTTCACCAAGGATGAGAATTATTAAAAAATGGACTTTTATCAAATAATTCTGTAGAGAAATTTCTTATAGTTTATATTACATTCGTATTTAAAAAAACCCAAATCTTCAGTATTAGTAGGGCATAAGATGTTGAATGTAGTCTCCAAAGGTTTGAATTTACAAAAACTAATAATTAAATTAGTCACGCTGTTCAGTGGCCAGGAACTATTTGTGGTTTCTGAAAATTAAACAAGCTTTCATTAATAGTGGTGTTAATGACCAGTAAGAAAGCAATCTCTGATTAAAACAGTAGGGAATTAATTTTGCTTTCTTTCGGTTGTGCATGTTTCAGGTATGATACTTTCAAACAAAGAGGTAGTAATATCCTTGATTTTTTTAGCAGATGAACTCCAATTGTTTCTTCTCACAAGAAAAGATAAAAAGGGACTCTACCTGCAAAACATGCAGTGCATGCTCTTTCGTTATAGCTAGTGTATCTGCAATCCCTTACCTTGATTGGTACCTGAAAAATTTAGGGACTGTATTTGTTATATTTTGTTTTAATGATTAAGATGTCTTTTCCTCCTGTGAGTGCTGTATTTGGCTATTTGTACTTGCACAGGGTTAGTGAGCGTGAAGCTGCACTGGAAGGAGCTCTACGAATGTTGCAACAATTCTACCTGGATCTGGAAAAGTTCCTTGCTTGGCTTACAGAAGCTGAAACAACTGCTAATGTCCTGCAGGATGCTACACACAAAGAAAAGATACTAGAGGATGCCAAAGTGGTTCGAGAACTCATGAAACAGTGGCAGGTAAGTGTTTCAGTTTAGAGCCCTGGCAGATTTATGAAAGAATGATTTTTTTCAGTATGCAGCTACTCAGCTTAACAAAGCTGAAATTATTTTGAAAATGAGAACCGATTATACTAACTAACCTTTAAGTGTTGCTTTGGAAATTGTTGCAAAATCTAAGGTGAGACACAATGTGATTCTGTCTGACATCTTTCCGCATGTATTACATTTGAAACGTTATCTTGAAGCATAACGTTAAAAAGGTACAAAAATAAAATGTTGCTGAAATGGGCATTTAGATTTTTATTACCTCTTGAAAATGAATTATTCTACTAAGCTACATTCCTGAATTGTGCACTTGACACACATGAGCGTTTAGTAGGCATTTCTGATATTTATAGAAGTTATGTAAATGGTGTCTAGTTTATTCTCTGTAGCTTAACTGAATTAATTTTCCTCCATTTCCTCCTTTCAAATATTTTAGTTAATCTGGTGTTTGGCTGATTTTTGTCAGCATCCTCTGTTGCAATAATAAAAAGGGATAATGACTACACTTTTCACTGTTAATAACCAAATAGCTTTCAGACACTTATTTTCCTGTAGAAACCGAAAACGTTAAAGAGAGGATGTTGTATATTTGTGTCCTAGAAAATCTTAAGGAAAAAAAATCATTAGTTGAGATGGTACTGTTGAAACAGTTTTATTTTCATTGTGCTGTCTTTATTACAGTTGCTAGGAGAGGAATGAGCACATGCCTATGTGAGTTCTTAGGTTTCTTAAATATGAGACAGGTTGACTGTCTGTAAGGCAGAGCCCTTTCATCCAAAATTCCTTGACAGTACTTGACTTTCATGTTGAGTAAATTCAAAGCTGGAAATTCAAGGTGCTGAACACTCTATTCCTTAATTTATCATAATGTGAAAAATCATAATTATAACTCATTATGCTGAGGAAATTAAGCTGGATGGAAATACTGCCTTCTTTTTGCACTGTTATACTAATCCATTTTGTAACTATTTGACTGAACTGCTGCTAAATTCCATTACAGTATACCTTAAAATCCAGAGTTGTTGTACTCTGTAAAAGTGAAATTTGAATCACATTTTTAATGACAAATAGGTTCAATTATCTTTTTTATACTAATTTGATTTTATACTAAAATGCCTTAAGTCCCCATACGTTTCTGACTTTAGTTGGCATGATCGTGGAGAACAGTTTTGAATGGAAGATGCTTCTCTGTAGAGCAGTTAATTTCCGATATAAGCCTACTTTTTCTATTCTCAAGATTAGATTTTTAGGAGTAATGGCATTAAAACCGTTGAATTATCTGGTATTTGTAGCAGCTTTTTTTTTTGCTGCCACCATTGAAAAATGGTTCATTTGGCAAAACAGAGATTCATAAAAAATTGGATCCAGTGCTTCATTCTTGCGTGTAATTGAACTTTGTAGATCTTTTCAACTGGTATCTATAAAAAAAAAATTCTATGTAAGAACCATCCACAGCTGTAGACAAAAGGAAAAATAAAACTGTAAAAATAAGTCTTCCCTGCACCCCCATAAATACAGAAGAATCTGCCATGTAACCAATTGTTTTGTACAATGAATTTTCTTTTAAAGATTTTGTGAACTTGTATTGAGCCATGAGATTAAATTTTCAATTCTTCCTTCCAGATTTTTGATATTTAAATATCAAGCCTTCCAAGGTACAAAAGGCAAAAAATGTGGTAGTGTCTTTATTTGTTTCACTTTCAAAAAGCAAGCGTCGTTCTGTTCAGTGATCTGGGCTGTAGAAGAGCACTGACTCTGACATATTAGCAGAAGAAATATTAGTATGTAGATGCAAAACAGCAGCAATTCTATTGTCTTTTGCTCCCAAAGCGTTCCTACAGACCTGCCCGCCAGTAGCACAGTGATTTTAGACTTGATGAGTAAAGGGGGAAATGTTTTGATACTGTTTGTGGGTTTTTTCATTCACATCTGCCTGCTGATCTGCCCCTATTGAGATAGACCAGAGTTTCTTCCTAGGCCATCTGCATACCACTGCTTGTGTCAGCCTCTTTATAGCATTTTCAAGCCTTTAGAAGAAATCTCGTAATTCACAAGCACAAGTGGATTATGAAATGCCCTTCTCCTGAATGGAGTCTGATTGATGCCTTTCTGACAGCTATTAGAATTGCTATTTTTCTTCTTGCTCAAGGCGAGGGAAGGTTCCTTTTTTCTACTGGAATGAGGAGAATTCTGTTTAAGTAAACAGAATGCTGTTTTGTTTAAAAATCATAGTCAGGAAAGCCCTTTTTAAAAATATTTTAAGAACTAAAGTGGCTATTCAAGATTTGTATCTTCTTCCCTTTCATTAAATTGTCACTGACTTGAAACATAGTAATTAACTGCAATTAATTTAAAAGGATGTAGGTTTTTACTCGCATGTGTTCCTTGTAATTTGGAGCAGTCGTTTTAGTCAGGTCACTTATTAGAATAGGGGCTTCAGTAATAGCAAATGTTTTAAGTTCAGGAAAGTCAATTGTAATGATTTGAACCAAGCAGTGCATTCGTTTACTCCGTAATACAGTGTGTTAATGTGGGAAGAAGTTGTAGTGACTGCAGCTTTTTCTAACAACTTGGCATCAATCTCAAGTGATAAATGCTGTTTTTCTAGCAATTCACCGTTGTTGGAGGAATGTATATGTGGAGGAGAAAACAAACTTCCTTATGCTTCTGTTTCTGCACTAAGTACCTGATATTTTTTCTGATGATGAGTGAGTTTTAAACAAAGTGAATAGACAATACCAGTAAAAGTCAGTTGGAAGCAAGGCATGGAAGTAAATTAGTTGAGACTGACTGTGAATATGCTAGCAAGTCAAACATGTCCATGAGCCTTTTCTCGCAGTGAGACCAGCTGTCACAGAAAAGCCACATCTATTTGATTAAGCTCTCTTATTAGAGTTACTGCATCCAACCTGTCTTGTGGGAATGATCCTTTCAAAAACATGCCTGGTGTTTTTCTGGAAGAGTGCTTGTTGGTCAGGCCAAAGCCATGCCATCCTACCACTTAACCATCCTACCACTTTATTGGTATAGACATCCACATTCCAGGACCTGGATATGATCCCTGATTTTATTTAATTTACTGTGTGTACTGCTTGAAAGCAAAAAAGTAAGCTTTTGCATGGTTAGTCTTCCTAGTAACTGTTTTACAGATCGCCAATCGGATATGCTATGGTTCTTCTTACATGAAGTTTTTCATTAAAAAAATTTAAAAAAAAAGTTGAATGACATAAGGAAATGATTTAAAAGCCCCCCCCCAGTAAATTTAGTAAGTAAGTACTCAGCTAAGAAATTGAAGAAAATTAATTTGATTAATTAAGTAAGGTGGGCAATATTTGCATCAATCATAACACAGTGTTCTATATCAAGAGTGTTTATTTTAAAAACTCTTCCTCCCACAAACAGATATATTCTCCTGGTAGTGGTGCAAATGTTGCTAATTTGTGTTGCTGCAAACCTGGATAATGGAGGAAATATTAAGGACTTTATTTTCTTAAAGTAAAATTGTATCGTTAAAACAATTTTATTGATGTCAGCTGACTGGTCAGAAAAGAGCGTAAGGCTTTTCATTCATTCCTCACTTATTATTACTGCATTGATTCTTCCAGTCTTTATTCGCAGCTTGTAAGAGTTCACTTTCACACTTCACTTCAATGCATTAGTAAGGAAGGAAATTAAGAAGACCAAAAAAGGGCTGTTTTTGCACAGTTTGTACATACAAAAGAGATTCAAATTCACTGAAACCTCAGGAATATACATGTATGTTCTTAGTCTGTGGAAAGGAGGTCATGCTCACTGATCCATACCACCACCCCAACACACCATGAATGATAATAAACCTTTCTTCTTCTGTACTGCGGGCCAGAAATGCACTTACCCTGGAAAACACACCAGACAGTGACTAGTATTCCAAGAAACATTATGTGTAAATTGCGAATGTATACAGACACATTTAAATGCAGTCTCTATCTTTAATATATTTTTAACATCCTCTCTATGTAGTGTAACCCCATGTCCTAAGCCAAAATCCCTGGGAGGGCTTTTCAGCCACATGCCAGTCCAGCTGCTTAATAAGTACTGAGGACTAAGGTAGGTACGCTAAGAAGTCAGATTTCAGAAAAACCTACCCTGTTTTTTATCAGACGTTCCTACAGAAGCTAAGTTGAGCATTGTAATTTTAAAGAATTATATTCTCATGTAGGAGGAAAAAACTCAGAAAATTTGCAACCGCATTTAGTTGTAAGCTACATTAAACTGAACCCACAAATTTTCCATTAAAATTTCATGCACAGATTTCCTGCCATAGGCAAACAAGTAGTTCACTGCAAGCAAGATGAAACTAACCAATAGGAGTGAATATATAGACCTAGTATCCTGAGACAGCTTTCGTATTTATTACATGTCAAAGCACTAGGACAGTAAATTTGATGTAGTCACTGTGTGCAGACAAGCGCACCAAGTACTTGCACAGCGGACTAATTCATAAGCGGCTTTGAACAGCAAATGCTTTGGTTGCCAACAGATCATTCAAAGAGGCAACAAGCTCAAGTGGTCGTGAAAAGATGTTAAAGGGTCAGGGACTGATAGAATTTTGGATAATGCCCGTTTACATTTTTCATTCAGAAGATGATTAACATGAAGAGTTAATGAGCAGAGTGAAAGGGAAAGGAAAGAAACTGCAACCACTTACTTTATTAATAATAAAGAAGCCATATGTGCAAACACAAGTGGGCATAAAAGGAGACCAGAAAAGGCCAGGCCAGGATTTTAAGAATGAGGACTTTTGGTTTTATGTGCAGATAACTCCTTGAATATGAAAGAGAACCAGGAAACCTGAAATCTCATTTATATTAAAGGAGAGTTAAATAATTAGAAAGAAGGATGTGCTTCAAAACAGCAGGGTCACTATTATCATGAGGATCACTGCAGAAGGAGTTGTAAGGAAGAACATTTTGCAGCTTCATTAATGGTCGTGC